CTAGTGGAAGGTGTCCCTGCCCAGGGCAGGGGGTGGAACTGGATGGGCTTTAAGGCCCCTTTCCACCCAAACCTTCTGAGATTCTGTGAAAATCCTTATAATTCCTTATGATTTCATACAATCTAATAATCCTCTGCCTTTTTAAATGACTGTCACCTGACAAGGATTTTGCCCTTCACATGTTAGATTTTCCCAAAAGGAGAGAGAATAAATCAAAAACCAGGACATAGCATATGAAAATGTCTCTTCCACTATGTTTCTGAGGGAGAAGGTTCACACCTGCCCACTAAGGTGGTTTGGTCATCCTTTGAACTATTCCTTTAACACACTGGTTCCCTCAAGAAGTAATGAACTTGAGCATAACCGATGCAGCCTGAAACATTTAAACTGAAAAATGGCTTTCTTCGTTCTCCGTTTCTCCAGTGGATGGGAACTGGGGGCACTGGCAGCCGTGGAGCCCGTGCTCTGCCTCCTGTGGAGGGGGAGAGCAGAGCCGGGTACGCCTGTGCAGCAGCCCCGCCCCATCGAACCGCGGCCGGCCCTGCCCCGGGGACTCCTCCCAGATATCCCGGTGCAACACCCAAGCGTGTCCTGGTGAGTTCATTTACAGCTTGTGCCGTGTGGGCAAAGCCTGTGGCTCTCCTGATTTCACTGGTGCTCTCTCATGTCTTGCCCAGCTGACCGAGTAATTTAATTTTTTGGGCTTAAACCTCCCTTGCAATTTAAGCTCAATTCAGTCTCCCCTACAACATCCAACAGCACACATCATGTGGCCCATTTTTTTCCCTCCCTTCTTCCCCCCTCTGCACAGGTGGGCCTGCCCGTGCCAAGGGCAGCATCATTGGCAACATTAATGATGTGGAATTTGGGATTGCCTTCCTGAACGCCACGGTGACAGACAGCCCAGACTCTGACACCAGAGTCATACAGGCAAAGATCACAAACGTCCCTCGGAGCATTGGTAGGCTTTTTCACTTTTATCACTTTTTTTTTTGCTCTGAGTACACCAATACATCCTGTCTTCTGGTTTAGATCTGAAGGGTTACCTTAGTTTTAGGTCTGCATGCACTCTTGGGGATGTGGGTCCCATGATGTTCAGATTAAAGCTCCCTGATGTTCTGTGGTCATTCTTTCAGGCCCAGCCATGAGAAAGCTCGTTTCCATACTCAGCCCAGTTTATTGGACAACTGCCAAAGAAATTGGGGAAGCAATGAACGGGTTCACGCTCACTGATGCCGTCTTCAAGAGAGAAACTCAAGTGGAGTTTGCAACTGGTGAGTTCCCTGGGATAGACCAGCTCTTTCCGTGTCCATTAAGCTGGATAGATCCTGCATTTCTTAAAAAATTGCACAGGACCCTTGCTGAAACTTGAGTCTTGTGCACTCTTCTGAGTGACTGTGTCTGAGGCTTCAATACAGCTTTTAGAGCTGTGGTTTGGAACATGCCATGGTTTTGATGATAGTACCTCTTAGAAAATGCAAGTATAAAATAACTCATCAGGGGATTCCAGTTCCGATGCCCCGTGGTAAGGGGAGTCCCTGGCTGGGAAGCTGGACACCCCAAGGTGCTCTGCAATCCCCAGGTGAGATCCTGCGGCTGACGCACGTCGCGCGGGGCCTGGACTCCGACGGGGCCCTGCTCCTGGACGTGGTTGTGAGCGGCCACGTGCTGCAGCTCCCGGCCCTGGCTGATGTCAACGTGAAGGTAAAGCTGCCATCCCTCCCTCCCTCCCTCCCTCCTCATCTAGGGTAAAGCAGCAAACACTAACTCCTGAAAACTGCTGTACTGTATGTGGCTTGTTTTATGCCTGGCTTAACTGATAGATGCTGATGTTGCCTTTGAAAGCAAAAAGTCGTCATCAGGCAGGTGATGTTGGTCTCTCAAGAATCTGAGATGTTGGCAGGTGGTGCTGAGAAGGGTCTTTAGGGTAGTTATTGCAGGCACATTGGTGTTGCTTTTGGTAGAGCTGGAAAGGGGCATCTTTAACCTCTCTGACTTAGTCATTAGTTAGTGGTAGTTGACCAGTATTTCTCTGTGTTAATCCCACTGTACAATAAATATACATAAAGTTGTTGATATTTTGCTACACTGCAATGTACTGTATGTCCAATATTTATACCTCTTTTTAGTGGCAGAATTTTTCTCTACTGAGTATTTATTTAGCACATTTGTCAGCATCTGACTTAGAATACAAACAAAATATTCTGACCTGAAAAGACTGTTATTAAAGAGTAGGATCATTTTCAGGTTTTTGGCAGTGCTGTGGCCTCCATCATCAGGCTCCTCAGTACATCAGTCTGTATCTTGTTTAAAGAAAGGCACCAGGTGCTGTTAAGGTTCAGCAGTTAAAACAAGAGTGGAAAGGACACGTGTGTGTGAAATACCATTTGTTCAGATCAAACCCTTTCTCTGAACTCTCATGCAACTTTAAAATGCAAGATGGCCCAGGTTTTGGCTGCACTCAGCAGCTGATGCCCAAACCCTGCTGTTCCAGGATTACAGCGAGGACTACATCCAGACTGGCCCGGGGCAACTGTACGCCCACTCCACCCGGCTCTTCACCATGGATGGAGTCAGCGTCCCCTACACCTGGAACCACACCGTCACCTACGACTACACCAAGGGCAAGATGCCCTTCCTGGTGGAAACACTCCACGCTTCCTCCATTGCAACGGAGTACAACCCACTGGAAGAAGCTGTGGCTTTCAAAATCCAGGCTTCCATTGCAAAAGGTACTGTTCTAGTCTTTCCCAGAAATCAAACAATGGCAAAATAATGTCTTCTTCTCCTAGAATTCATTCCCTGTAGCCTCAAAAGGAAATTCTGTGAAAGTTGGGTAACTTTATTGTAGATCTTGAGACCTACCTGTCTCATTAATGTACCCACAGAGTATTGCGGTTTGCGCTTCCTTCAGCCCTGGTTCTCACCACACTGCCAACGGCATCCCCAGAGTTAACCTGAAATAGTTCCATTTCCTTGCATGTCCCTTTCATTCTCTAAAATGAAATTATCATGGAATCCCAGAGTGGTTTGGGTTGGAATGGACTTTGAGGTCCATCCAGTCCCACCCCCTGCCAAGGGTGGGGACACCTTCCACCAGACCAGGTTACTCCAAGCCCTGTCCAACCTGTTGCTTTTCTGTGGGGTCAGGGTGCTTTTGTGTGGTGGGTTTTATGTTTGGGTTTGTGTTCCCATACCTAATAAGAAAAAGGACTGTGTATTTTCTCCCCCCAGCAAAACCCACATAAATATAAATCAGGTAGTAATGAGGTTGAACTTCAGTCACTCCAAGGGGAACCTCCACACACCATTTGATGTTATTCAAACCAGCATAAAACATGTACTACTGACTTCTAGAGCCCAAGTAGAAAAACTACTAAAGGCTGGATTTAAAAGTTTCTGTTTTGGTGTTGAAGTATAGTAAATACTTTATAAATAACTGGGCTGCAATTCTTAGTGCTAAAGTAGTAAAATGGCCATATTTTTATCCCCAAGTAACGTGTGCTTCCTTTCCCATCCAGGGGATCGCAGCAACCAGTGCCCTGCTGGGTTTGGTTTGTACTCGTCTGGGCCTTACTGCTCAGGTACTGATGGACAGGGGTGGTGTAATCACAGACTCATGGGGTGGGGGGAAGGCACCTTAAAACTCACCCCACCCTCTGCCACAGGCAGGATCACCTTCCACTAGCCCAGGTTGCTCCAAGCCCAGTCCAAGCTGGCCTTGGACCCTTCCAGGGATGGGGCAGCCACAGCTTCTCTGGGCAACCTGTGCCAGGGCCTTACTCACATGGAAGAGTTTCTTCCCAGTATCCCATCTAACCTGCCCTCTGGCAGTGGGAAGCCATTCTCTGTGTCCTGTCCCTCCATTTCCTTGTCCCAAGTCCCTCTCCAGCTCTCTTGGAGCCCCTTTGGGGCTCCAAGGCTGCAATAATGTCACTCTGGAGCCTTCTCTTCTCCCAGCCTGTGTCCAGAGCAGAGGTGCTCCAGCCCTTGGAGCATCTCCATCACCTCCTCTGGACCTGCTCTCAGAGGTCCGTGTCTGTCTGGTACTGAGATCTCCAGAGCTGGACACAGTGCTTGCCCCCAGGACCTACACCACCTTTAGTTAGAGTTTCAAACCATGCAGTACTTCACAAAGTGTCAGTGCCATTGACAAAGGGTGTGGATCCAATGGCAGATGAAGACCTTGCTTCTCTCCTCACCCAGAATGTGAGTAGTGCCAGAGAGCCTTTTCCTCAGTCCCTCAGATACACCTGAGGGACACTGAGCCTCAGCACCTGCAGAACAAGAAAGGACTTACCTGACCTGTGGGAGAGAAGGACGAGTGTTGGCAACCCAGACCACAGCCCACAGGTTCCTGCTGGGGAACCTACTGGATGGTTCTCTCCACCTCCATCCTGCTGGAAGGGTGTGAGCGTTCTGACTGTCTCTCTAGCTGACTGTCATGCTTGGTTTAGGGAGCACTCATCTGAGATACTTCATTGGCTTACTTTATTGGCCCCTGGAAGGTTGTCCATGAAGGGAGTTGTACAGAAGCTGCTCCATTACTGGGCCCAGTTTTGCCCTGTGGCTTTACCAGTCACACACCTCTGAGGAAGGGTCGCTTTGGTGCAGTTTCTTGTGAAGTCTCACTGGGTTTGCAAACGTTTCCTTGTTCCAGATGAAGATGAATGTGCTGTGGGAAATCCTTGTTCCCATACCTGTCATAACACCGTGGGATCCTACTACTGCTCCTGTCCCAAAGGCCTCACTATCTCTGCTGATGGGAGGACGTGTCAGGGTAAGAGAGGTGCTGCTGGGGACAGGTCGGATACAAAATGCCCCTTAAACACTTTAAGGCCTTAAAATGCCTTAAAAGTCACTCACATTGCTAAGGAAAGGTTCTATTTAGGCTATTTCTCATTACAAGAATGCAATTTCTTGGTGGTATTGTAATTATTTCATCCCTGACTAAAATCAGCTAGTATTTCTAGCTGCTCACACTCAGGGTGCTGTGTTCCCTTGTGCTGGGGGTTTTCAGGCTGTTTGTCATTCCAGACATCGATGAGTGTGCGCTGGGAGGGCACAGCTGCCACCCTGGCCAGGACTGTGAGAACGTCATGGGCTCCTTCCGCTGCCTGGTCCGGTGTGGGAGCGGCTTCCGCAGAACGGCCGACGGCTTCGGCTGCCAGGGTATGGGGGCTGGGGTTGGGTTTGGGGTACA